TAAGGAAGGGAGGGGTGGAGGTCGGAGGCCTTGGGAAGTCGAGAAAGTCCCATCTCAGTCGTTTACCATGATCCTTAGCCCTGCGTTGGCGAAAGCAGCAAAACTTCCTTTTCTTCTTTTCCTCTTTGAGCAAGTCGGCAACTGTAATCCCTTGAGGTTGAACACAGGCAATTCCATTATGAAACAGTAGAGGGCGGCAATAGCAACGCACACAAGGGCTGTGGGCGTGCTGAGGGGCTCTGGGGCCGGCGCAAACCGTTTGCTGCTCTGTGCTGCTCAGAGGTGGGATCTGACTCCCACTGGCACGGTGCAAGCACCCTCAGCAGCAAATGCACAAGGCCTGCCTGAAGGCAATGCAGCCACTGTGGACTCCGGGCTCCGGGGCACGGCCTGCCTTCTCAGAGGGGCGGCCTAGGAGAGGCCCTTCGGCAGGAGTGCCGAGACCTGGGTCTGCCTCAGGGGTGGGCATTAGGGGGCTGCAGAGGAATTTCTGCTTTCAGATAGACCAGCTTCAATCTCAGCTCTGCTTCCTTACAGACTGGTGGTCTGACAGTGGTTGCCCGGCTATGGGAACGTTTGCTTTCTCTCTTATAAGGTGCTAACCCTAGTCAGACCTGGCCAGCAGGGAATTATCAACACACACGCGCGCGCACACACACACACACACACACACACACACACACACACACACACAGATCCAGGGATGGGACCCACACAAGCAATCAAGGCAAATGCTTTATCACCAGGCCCCTACTCCCCCAAACCTGTACCTGAATCATCTTCAAAACAAAGACTATGCCGCTATGATTTGAGATTCCGAAACCTGGCGGGAACGGCCAGTCCAAGCCCAGCTTCCACCAGCATGGCGAGGCCAGCCAGGATAGATGAGGGTCTCCAGCTGCCATCCCGTGGAACAGGGGTCTCCCTGCTAGCCCTGGGCATGGGGCCCTGCCCACCAGCAACCATGGGCACAGGACCTCTGCAGCATCTCTGGGCACAAGTTTCCCTGACAGCAGCCAAAGCTGCTGTTATTTGCTTTAGAGCTTTTCCTGGAATGTTTTCCATTTTGAACTTGCATCCAGAGGGAGCTGAATGGTGACAAAGGGTTTTGTTTCCAAAATCACATTTTAAAGAGACAATCTTTGAAGACATAAGGCCAGTGAGGGGCAGGAGAGATACTCCAGCAGTCAGGGCCCTTGCCTTGCACTCAGATGACCCAGGTGTGATCCCTGGCACCCAATACGGTCCTCTAAGTCCTTCCAAGAGTGATCCCTAAACTCAGAGTCAGGAGTACGTCCTGAGCACCGCTGGGGGTGGCCCCAAAACCAAAAAAATAAAATGAAATTAAGAAAGTAAATCAAGATCAGCAAGCTTGGGGCTGGAGCGATAGCACAGCGGGTAGGGCATTTGCCTTGCACGTGGCTGACCCGGGTTCGATTCCCAGCATCCCATATGGTCCCCTGAGCACTGCCAGGAATAATTCCTGAGTGCATGAACCAGCAGGAGTAACCCCTGTGCATTGCCACGTGTGACCCAAAAAGCAAAACAAAAAAAAACCCCAAAAAGATCAGCAAGCTTTTGTGCCTTTTGTAAGCAAACCCTGATCTTCTGCTCATCTCCAGACAACACAACACACAGCAGGTGGCACTGTGGAATGAGGAGCCTGCTGCGACAATGCTCTGTGTGTGTGTGTGTGTGGGGGGGTGTATATGAAAGCATGGGAATGAGGTGTGTGTACACGGGAGAGGGTGCACACAGCCTCCCGGAGCAGTAGGAAGAGGGCCCGAGAGGCTGTCGCTGGGTCAGAGCCAGAGTCTCAGGTGCTCCTGCCTTTCTTTGCATAGCAAACATGCCCAGGTACTGGGTTCACTGATCCATCACCCTTCTCACAGTGAAACGGTCTTGCCTTTCTGGCCAGAACCAGAGCAAGATCTCCCTTAAAAGCGATAGCACAGCGGGTAGGGCGTTCGCCTTACAAGCGGCCAACATGGCCGACCCGAGTTCGATTCCTCCGCCCCTCTCGGAGAGCCCGGCAAGCTACCGAGAGTATTCGATATGCCAGACACAGTAACTCCCTTAAAGACAATTTCATTATTTCTAATGCTCTCTTTTTAAAGACTCATCACTGACAATGAGAAGAGTTTAAAATAGAATGTTCAGCTTCCAGATTTTAAGGGCCCTAGGGGGAAAAAAAAACCAAAAAAAAAAAAAAACCAAAAACAAACTCCATTGTTAACCCAGCTGCACACGTCTGAAAAATCACTGGGAGATTTGGTAGGGTTGCTTCAGAAACTTGAAGCTCAGCAAAAAGTTAAAGGAGTCTTGAAAATTGCCCAAATGCTCAGAAACTCACTTCCCAGGGAACCTCGTCCATTCTGTGAATGGTGGAACACCAGCGTTCTAGCAGCAAATTGACAGACCTGGCACTTAACACATTGATGCCACACTGAGCAATTGGTGTTAATTAAACCACATCTAAAGATGAGGCATCAGTGGCACATGCCTACACCAATGTGTTAAACAGTGCTGGAGAGCACCAAGCCAGGCAGCCCAGGCAGCTCTGCCAGGACCCTGGAAGCCTCACCTCTGGTTCAGGAGACAGCCAGACACAGCCAGATACTCAACACGTGGCCACCCAGGCTTCCCACAGGGCCTCCAGTATAGAGGTGGGGTGTGGCTGCAGACCCCATGCAGGCTGCCTTCCCTGGCAGGCATCGTGTCTGCGAGTGTTGGGAACACACAGGGGCAGGCAGGGACCCCTGGTGAAGCCCAGAGAAAAGATGGCGCCAGTCCCTCTCCAAGCACATACCCCTCCCTCACTCTGACAGTAAGCGTCAGTCAGCTAGAAACAGGCCACACCAGATAGAGACAGAGATGCCAGATGAGGTGGGGGGGGGGGGGCAGAGAGGGGGTGAGAGGGAGAGAGGAGGATGCACTGGTGGTGGGAGTGGTTCCATGAGAAACCATTATTAATAGTATTATAAACCCCACAGGGCTGGAGCGATAGCACAGCGAGCAGGGAGTTTGCCTTGTACACGGCTGACCCGGGTTCGATTCCTCTGCCCCTCTTGAAGGGCCCGGCAAGCTACCGAGAGTATCCCGCCTGCATGACAGAGCCTGGCAAGTCCCCATGGAGTATTCAATATGCCAAAAACAGTAACAACAAGTCTCACAATGGAGACGTTATTGGTGCCTGCTTGAGCAAATCGATGAACAATGGGAGGACAGCGCATTATAAACCCCAAAATTAAAAAGTAATAATTTTAGGGAAAAAAGAAGTGACACAACTGACAAGCTTGTTGTACATAGATACTCAAGAGCCATAGAGAGTCTGGAGAGTGGGGATGGGGCCAAGGCCAGAGCCTGTCTGGGGCTGCGCCTGGTTCCATCCCTGGCACTATGTATAGTCCCCTGGGCATCAGTGGCTTCTGCTCAGGCGGCCTCTGAGCATGGCTGCAGTGGCCCCGGGTGTGCCACGGCATGGTGGGATGTGAAGAATGCTCATCCTCACCCTTGCAGCAACTGCTGGCTTGGCCGGCCGACAACGGGAGAGAGTCATTGCCAGATGCTGTTCCAGAGACCTGGGGCTTTGTGGGGTGGGGGTGGGGTGGCCCTGTTACAAAGGGGACGTTGAGGATACACAGAACGCACGAAAGGTTGGCTCCCTGACCCAGAACAGCCACATGACAGGTTCTGGGCTGACACCGGGTCACCCCAGCAGAATACCTGTGGAAACTCAAATCTCAAAGTGGGCTGGAACAGTCTAGAACACTCCCATGCTTGATCCACAGAGGGCAGCGGCCGGGAAAAAATGGGGAATTCCTGTACTTGGTATCCCCCCTACCAACATACAAGACTGTGTCAACACTTATTCTTGAGGGTGCCTGGTCAGGAATGCCCTCTGAGGTGGTCTCAGTCTCTGGGGTCACACTCTGCCCCCACACAAGCCACACTGCACCCTCTGCTGTGTCTCACCCTGAGCTGTAACCCTCACCTTCCCATGCACTCCAGCTGCCCAGCCATGGGTGCACCCCCTTCTCCTCTGCTGGTCTTGGGTGGTGATGGCTGACGCTGAGCTCAGATCTAGCCTTCCCTCGGGGCACAGTTCCACTAGGCCCAGACCTTGTGGCCAGCCCTTCCTCATCTCTCTGCAAGCTGCCTGCCCTCCTGGTGCTGCTGGAGCCTGCCTCCCTCTGCACAGACGTGGCCATCCAGGGAGGAAGCAGCCCTGGTGCTCCCCACCCATGAGTGCTCCTGGCTCCTGGCACCAGTTCCCACATCCACCCTGCTGAGTGAACCGCTGAGCAAGGCCCCTGGGGCCGGAGGCAGATCCTCACCAAGGACATGCACAATGGAGCCCTGAAGAAATTTTTCCTGTCTTTGACTGTCCACTATTTCAGATGACCCGCGAATCACAGACATCTCAGTGACTCCCACCATTGGATTTCAAGCACTGCAAACCCCCAGACAATGATGGACTAGGAAGGAGGAGGAAGAGCAAGAGGCCCCTGCGGAGGCAGCGTGTGGAAAGGGACATCTGGCTTATAGAGGGCAGTGGGGCCTGGTGGTTGGCCAAGCACTGGGCCTTTCTGCTGCAGCGTTCTTTGGTGCCTGGTGTCACCATGTGGGGGATGGTGGAGGGGGCACCGGGGCCACCTGGGCTCAGATGCCTCCTGGCATCACACACAGGGTGACCCAGTTTTGCCCCAGCCCTGTGGCTCCCGGGGTTAGAGTGACGGGGCAGGAACCAATTTGGGCAGCAAAGGGGGAGGGGGCCGTGGTGCAGCCATGGCCACACAGCTTGGACGTGTGTCAACCCCAAAGCCCTGTGAATGAGTGTAGGCACGTAGCAGTCCACCCCCCAGGCAGAACTTCAGAGGGCAGGAGTCGGTGACTCACTCGGCCCCACAGGCTGGAGGAAACAGAGATGTACCTGCGGGCAAGTGCCTGCACCCCAGCCGAGCCCCACCCAGTCCAGGGTGGGGGTGGCCGCCACCTACTGTTCCGTTTGCTCTCCTCTCCTCCTTCCTCCTCGTTCTCGGGATCGATGTCCTCTGCTTGGGTGATCCAGTCCAGGTAGCCCTTCAGATCTTCTTCCAGTTGCTGCTTCTCTCTGAGCTTCTGGAAGTCGCCCCGCGCCTTCGCCTTCTCTCTCTCCTTGGAGAATTCTCTGGGGGAGGGAGAGAGGGCAGGCCGGTGTCAGGACGCCCTGTGTGAGCGCCCCCGGACCCACCAGTTCCCCACCCCCAGCATGACAGCCGGAGGAGGGGGGGTTACAGGGGGCCATAGATGCAGAGCACAGCTGCAAGAGGGCCACACACAGACAGACAACAGGACAGCGTCTCCCCAAGCGAGGCCGTGGACGCGAGAGGAGCAGAGCCCACCCCCACACCACACACATGCAGTGCCTCGAAGGTGAGCCCCCTGCAGCCCACCACAGCCCAAGGAGCCTGGGCCCCACCCGCAGTGCCTGGTCATGGGTTGGGGGCGGGTGGCTCACGATACCCCCCACTGGGGCCCACCTCTACCTCCACCACCCCCACCCCCCCGCCACTTCAGTGTCTTGCCTCCACTTTAGTGGGAACAGACCCAGGAGCACTACACCGGGGTCCACAGAACACCAAGCATAGAGCCCCTGCAGTACATGAGTATGCCCTGTATTCTGACCCCTGACCAAAGCAGGAACCCGAAGCGGTAGTGGGGGGCAGTGTTCCGGGCACCCACACTGCAGTGGGCCAGAGCCTGGGCAGAGTCAGAACAGACCCACGTCCTGGCCCCTGCTCTTCCCAGACTGAACCCAAGGCACCACTGCTGTCTCGGCCTTCACGTCCCCCAGCCTCTCCCCTCTCCCAAATCTCCCCAGTGTATGGCCCTTTTAGGGGAGCACCTGCCTGGGAAAGGCCTCGTGCGTGCTCCAGGATGTGCAATGTCCTTGATGTGGCCTCTAGCACCTACCTGTCACCCACTCTCTGTGCCTGCACAGAGAACCCTGCATTTGCTCAGGCGCATGTGAGAGTCAGGGTCGGGGGGTCACATGCAACAGCCCCTCTGCACATCCCACCCTGCACCGGTGACAGGAGCCAAGATTCCCGCCTTACGGATCTGCTGAGGCTGTGACTGAGCCGGGACAGGAGTAAGGAAGGGTGACAGGCAGTGCGGCATCTGTCTGAGTGCAGACCCCCGGACCTGAGGGCCTCGTCCCTCCATTCCCGCAGCCTTTGTCAAATACACAGTCAGCAGCTCCCTTCTGGGGCCTCATTTACTGACACACCTGGTGGTGGAGGCACTTACTTACACAAAGCCAAGCCTCCAGCCCCTGTCTTCCTCCTTCTCTGGGCTCAGGGCTGTGAAGGGTTTTGTAAAGACTCTCAATCGGGATCAGATACGAGAATTCCCGCCCCAGCCACAGCAGGGAAGGAGGCCATTCCTTGTTCCAAAATCACCCACTTTTTTGGATGCCCCCAGAGCCCATCCTTAGCTCTGCTAGGGCTTGTCTATCCCCACCATTACCCTCTGGGAAGTGAGGCAGGGTTGAGGCTGTGGGCGCACAGGGATGTTCCTGAGACTGCAGCCTTGCTGTCCCCAGGCACTGGGCAGGGGGACTGCAGTTGATCCAGACCCACAGAGGTTTTCTGCCCTCAGAGTCAAGGGTCCTTCCTGGAGAGCAGGACATATTCCAGCCTCCAGGAGAAACCGTTCTGAGGATGGTATCTGGCTCATGCCAGTCACACCAAGAGGATAACAGTGGCTTCCAGAGAATGCAGCCTGCAGAGCTCAGCCCGAGACTAATTCCTGAATCCCAGTTTTGCTCCCGATGCAGAATCACATCTCCGAACACGGAGCAAAGAGCCAGCTAGCCACATGGCCAGGGGACACAGTAAGTGGAAGTTGACCGGAAAGATCTAGGAAGGGGTAGTCTCTTCTTTACCCAAAGCATCTGAGCAAAAATTTTTATGCATCTTTGGATTCTGAACTTCAAATGCTAAATTTAAATATTTAAATACAGAGTATTCTTACTGAGGATCCTATCTGATTTGAGTTCTTGTAGACAGAACAACAGGAAGCTAGCAGAAGAGCCATTGCATGATAACTTATGGCTTTTGAAGAAGGGGTTTCCCTTCTTATTTTTTGGAAAGAAACATGTTTTCTTCACAAACTCCTTCTACAGAGTTCTTTCACACTAGGGCTACAGCATCTCCTCCCTACAATGTCATTGTGGCCCCTCCATGGTTGTTGGGATGCGGTGACGCAAAGATCGGCAAAGCCCTACAATGACTAAAATTTCTGTAAATAAAAAACTCTGCCAAGCCCTGGCTTATGGCCCACATATTTTAAATAACAGCCACAGTTGCCAGCAGACATACAACAAAGCTGTGAATGTAAACCCTCTCGACTGGGCTTGGGCAGTTCTGAGTGGCTAATACTTTGTATTTACTGATTTGAATGGAACTGAAATTCAGGAGATGCTTTCCTGTCAGCAAGGGCACAGAGCGAAGGAGAAGGGGCAGGGAGGGGGCATCCTGCATGATGACCTCAGTGCCCTCCATCAGATCACAGCATCTCTTTGACCTGGACTGAGTCCCAGCTCCTCTCCCTGCATCCCTTTCCTCCCCTGCCAGACACATGGGACACCTGTCCGGCCATTCACTCAGGGATGCAGCACAACAGCCAGTCAGCTGAGACTGTGAACGCCACAAGGCATGGAACTGGCCCAAAGGGCAAGTGTGCAGTGTTTGGTTGTTGAATCTGGGAACACAACAGAAGGATGATGGGAAAGCTCGCCCCAACACCAAAGGGAAACAACTGCACAGCTTTGACTGGCTCTGGGCTGTGATGTTCCTGGCAGAACTGAGAAGCGCAAGAGGACGCGGGAGATCCCAGGGCTCCTCGTGCTGAGCCAGCGAGTCCTCCATCCACACTGCAGTGCCCGCGGCTCCGCTGCGCACAGCGCTTTCTCGTCCCAACAAGCCTCACTTGAACCTGCTGAATCTCAATTCTCAAGTCCCAGTGGATGATGGGAAAACAACCTCTTTGCATTTGTGGTGAGAATGTGTCCTGCTGGACCCCGATTATTGGGGGGATTAAATAATAGTCCCGAATAAAAAGCCATTGGCAGAAATTCTCACTCTTGCCGTTGACCAGAAATCCTACAACTCATATATGACAGCTGCTTACGGGCTCCTCTGAACTCTGAGGGGGCATTTAACCCAAAGAAGGACACCAGAAGTGCTGAGACGAAGAAGAGGCAGATGTGCAAAAGAAGAGGAAAGAAAGAAACCCTTGAAGGAAAAACAAACAGGGGACTGGGGCAAATGGAGCAGAGGGCTTGATAAGAGTGCAGAAACACTACAAAAATCTACCTTTTTCTAGAGTTTTGACTCTTGGAATCACATTGCACTACACATTAAAATTTTTCTTACAAGGGCCACACCTGGCACTGCACAATGGCTTCGGGCCACTCATTAGCAGAGCCTGGCCTGAGCAACAGATGGGGTTTGGGGGTCACCAGGGTTACACCTGGCAGGGGCAGGTACAAGGGCATGAGAGCGAGACCCAGGGACAAGCTCTTTCCTCTGACCCTACACACTGAAATTTTAAACTAAATCAAGAAGAAGAGGAAGGAGGGAAAATGCTCCTACAATTAGAAAGGAAACATAGGGACCTAATTACTCTTCAAATGAACCACAGAACCATACTGAAAGGGAAAGACAAGACGAGCTTAAGGAGCTTAGAAACATCCAACGCAGCCCCTCCCCTCCCCACCCGCTCTGCCGCTGTCTTGGGCAAGACTGGAGCAAGGGAAAGGCCCAGGCAAATGCTGAGCCTTTTTAGTGGGTCTTCTTGTAGTTATATGGCCGAAACACTGGCTTGTTGTTGATGTGTTGCAGGATTTAACAAAAGAATAGAATTTAACAAAAGAATAGAAATGCTGATGGATGTGAGAGCCGGGGCTCTTGCCAGGGAGGAAGAGACAGAAACAGGGAGAGAGGAAGACAGGAAAAACCTTCTGGGGACAACCTGGGATTGATGTGGATTCACGATTTCTAAGAGTTATGTGGATGAGCACATGTGCTGCTTTGTGTGTGTGTGTGTGTGTGTGTGTGTGTGTGTGTGTACATATATGTTCAAGATGTCCTCTGGAAGGAACTAGAAGACACTGGTGGTTCTGAGATCCCCTAGAGTCCAGATCTCAGTCTAGATTACCATTTCTCTCTAAAAGGAGAGAAAAGCGAAGGGTTGATTTGGGGACCGAGGCAAGGAAGGGTCAGGTGAGAACTGCGAATAAGCACTCAACCATTTCATTTCAAATAAAATGAAGACATGCCCTAGGGACAGAGGGGTCAGAGAGTGGCCTCCTACATGTCAGATCAGGGATGACATTTGGGCCACAAATAACTCAGGACAGCAATGAGTTACAAAAATACTAAAAAAAAAAATTGTTCACAACCCCCCTCCTATATAGGTGCAAATGAAAAAGCAAGTAAGATTTTAAAAAATGCAGACATGCGTTCAAATTAACGGGCATGCTATGTTCTCATTCTTGCAGCTCTAGTGCAGACCCAAAGGATTCCCAAATGAAAAATAATTGTGTTTGGAATGTGTAACTGGGAATCCAATGCAAGTTTGTGCTGTTCTCTATTCATTTCTACTTCCGACTAGACTGCTGGCTCCTTGTGGGAATGGATACTGCTGTACATTTCCAAGGTTTTCTTCTTACACCTCTTGTTTTGGCTTGTTTTGGGCCACATCCAGGTATGCTTAGGGCTGACTCCTCCCTCTGTGCTCAGGGATCACTTCTGGCAGTGCTCAGAGGATCAGACCCAGGTCAGCCACGTGCAAGGCAAGCATCCTACCCGATGTACTACTGCTCTGGCTGACATGCCTCTGTCTCCTCCAGAATGGCCCCTTGCCCTTTCAGGCAGACCCGCAGGAAATCTGGGCACCCCCAAACTTGCAGACAACAAAATCAGCCCTATTCTGGCCAGAAAGCTCAGCTACTGGGCAGAAAGCCCCCCACTTCCTGGGGGAACCTAGCAGCCAAGAACTGGGAGGTCTCCATAGCCCCCACAGCCAGCCTTTCCTGTCCCCAGATTGTTTGTATACCCAGAGGTGGCACTTGGTTCCCTCCTGGGTTACAAAATCCTCCCACTATGTCAGTCTCCTATTCAA